GAAAACGGACAACACTTTACCACTACCGATATCAATAGCGCATACAATCAAATGCCATTAGACGATCAATCACGTCGACTAATACATATCGTTATTGGAAATCAGTAATACGATTTTAATAGACTATTTTATGGTATATTTATAGGACCAGCAGTTTTTTCAGCAATTATGAGTAAAATTTTTAATCTACTAACACTTAGCAAAAAGGTAATTATATATTTAGACGATGTTTTCATTCAGTCTTAGACAAATACCACTAAATCTTCTTTTATCAAAAAAACAAGAAAGCAGCCAGGAATAAATTACATTTTTTCCTCACTCGTTTAAAATTCCTTGGACATATTATTGAAGTCACCACAATCACACATTTAAATCACAAATAGATGCAATTTTAAAACAACAAATAAAAAATAAATCCAAGAATTCCTTGGACTGCAAAACCTAATAAGGAAATACGGTTACAAAATGCAACTATATCTCAGACCATTTTACTATAATCCCCGACAACAAAATAATTTTGAATGGACATAAGAACATCAAAAACTCTTCGATGAAATAAAATGTCTTCTAACGGAAGAATTTTAAAACACAATCCCGGATCCAAACTAGCCATTTTTTACTATGTGCGATGCTTCCAACTATGGAGCTGGCGCAGCACTTCTACAATCACATAAAGGTACAAATAAAATGAACCTGAAATCAGCAAATGCGAGACCCATTACACAAGCAGAACCTAGATTCTCTACCCTTATGAAATGTTGCACAATCATAATATATACATTACATGCATTGAATTCATAATATGAATTCTTAATCCTTGGGTCAAAACATGCAAGAGTTTTATTCACAGATCAAAATTCTATAGTTTTTCTCTTTACACAAAATACTAATCCAAACCATTGATTTAATCATTTTCAAGTTATTCTAAAGAAATTTTCAAGCCTACATATACTTTGGACAGCAGGCAAAAAGCCTTGCTCACAGAATAAATTTAGCCGAAGCACACCACCTGAACTGGTAACACAAAAAACAAGTACCAAAACCAATACCATACTCATTATGGATAAAAAATGATACACAACAAAAGAACTCTAAACAAAAACCACATCGGAGCTTTTCATTGCAATTAAAAGGAAAGGAAAACCAAACAGAAACCATAATTTTGCAAGTTTCCCCCGATTCAAACTAAGAATACTCAATCAAAGTCTTACTTAATTTATAAGACCTTTTAGTAAATATACCTCTCACAAAAAATGAAAATCAAAAAAATTTTTTCTCCCAAACACAGAAGCAATGACACTTCATTTATTAAAAAATATCAAAATCTTGACCCTGTCTTAAATTTTAGCACTTATATAAAATAAAACCAGTAGAAGATGATATCACAATTATGGGAAATAAAACCGTACTTCGATTTTTCCGAAAATTTTATAGTACGACGATATAGTACGCAAGATCAGAAAAAAAACTATTTCAATTTTCACTCAAATTTTCTATTTTCCAAATGCTCTAACTTGGATAAAAGTATTATGCAATGATTGCCTAACATATCCATTAAACAAACCTTTCCCACACCAACAGCAAATAGCGGAAAAACAAAACTTCAAAGGACAAAACCTTTATTTCAATGACAGAATCTAATTAGTGTATTCAAAATAAAATGTCTCATCAAATAAAAAACGCATCAAAAACTACTTTACCACCCAAAGAAAAAATTTGAACAATACCAGTTTTTTAGAAAGCCCGAAAAACCAAAAAGTTCCGAATCACCAGATCTTGAATAGATTTCTTAATTGATTCTGGCGCAGAATCGAACAAAATTAATCTCTCTACAAGGATAGAAATTCAAACTCTGCATGCAAAATTTCCCCTTCCAAAACATCAAGTAAATTAGCCACTGCACAGGGTACATGTCCAACAAATTACAAAAAAAATCAAATAATTATTAATCCAACTCGAACAATGGAATAAAACAAACTAACCCTTCAAGTTAATTTTCCACATAACAGACATAGAACACAATATCGTTAGAAATCCATTTTTTTGATACCAAAGGCCCTATATCACCCTCTTCAGAAGAAAATTCATAAATGGTGATACTAGTGGATGCATTTTTACACTATATAGCACTCAACCCTGTACCTCACTGCAACGACGCTTATTATGCTTTTACAACACTTAACGAACACTGGACAGCAAAGTTTGGATTGCCTGAAATCCTTGTCCAAGACAATGGAACAGAAAAATAACGAAATCATTCCACCATGTCAGTTCTAAAATATCAAACATAAACCAACATTATCCCATGCCCCCATGGACAAATGGACTTTTTGAAGGCATAACCGTTTTATACAAGAATACCTCCAATACTTAATAAACAACGCAGACAGTAAAAAATAATCCGAATGATGTGCAAACGTAAAACTATTCCCATTCGCGTATAGTTTTCAAATAACAACACTTGGTTTGTCACCACTTGAAATTATTTTTAACCAAAAACCACGTCAGACAAAAACGTTCACAGCAAAGTTCTCAGAAAACCCACAAGGGTACTGTCATTTTGTTATAATCTACCACTTCACACTCATGACGAAGGTCATTTTCACCATCCACAAATTTTAAAATTGGCCTCTGGAACCCACAGAGAATGGATTTTAAACCGAGATACAGACCATAATGAAACTTATCAGAAAATTGCATAGAAAGACCAT